GGCAACAACCTGCCCTTTGATGGTTGCCTTTGGTCTGTAATGTAGATCGAACTGACTCAATTCCATTGCCCATTTGAGTAACTTACCCGAAGCTTCCGACTTTTGAAGAACTTGCTTGAGCGGGTAGTTGGTCAAAACATGGATTGTGTGGGCATGGAAATAGGGTTGCAACTTCTTGGAGGTGATCAATAGGGCATAAGCTAATCGTTCCATTTTTGGATATCGCATTTCAGCATCCAACAGTCACTTGCTCACGTAATACACTGGCCACTGAACTCTGCCTTCTTCCCAAATCAAAGCTGCGCTAACCGCATACTAAGAGACAGATAGGTAGAGGAATGAAATTTCCTTGTGAAGATGTTTGGATAGGAGAGGTGGCTTTCCGAGAAGTTCTTTTATACTCTAAAAAGCCTGCTTGTACTCTAGAGTCCACTCGAACTTCTTGTTGGCCTTGAGTATATTACAAAATGGCAAGCAACGATCTGTTGCCCTTGATATGAAGCGACTAAGAGCTGTTATCCTTCCATTTAGGCTCTGAACCTATTTTCTGTTGGTCAGACTTTTCATATCAAGGAGAGCTTGGATCTTCTTGGGGTTGATTTCGATTCCTTTTTGGTTAACCATATACACTAGAAACCTTCCCGAGGATACTCCAAATGAGCACTTAAGAGGGTTGAGCTTCATCCTGTACCTTCAGAGTACATCAAACATCTTAGCGAGATACGCTATGTGATCTGAAGTGACATGCGACTTGACCACCATGTCATTAACATAGACTTCCATTGACTTTTTGATCTGCTCGGAAAACATACGGTTAACCAGCCGCTGGTAAGTTGCCCTAGCATTTTTTAGGCCGAAAGGAATAACCTTGTAACAATACAATCCTTAATCTATAAAAAAATGAGGTATGCTCTTCGTCAGATGCATACATCGGGATCTGATTGTACCCCGAGTAGGCATCCATAAAGCTTAGCAGCTCATGTCCAAGGGTGGCATCAACAAGCTAGTTGTCCTTGGCAAGGGAAAATTGTCCTTCGGACAGGCTTTGTTGAGGTCGGTGAAGTCAACACAGGTTCACCACTTGCCATTGGGCTTCTTTACCAAGACTGGATTGGCAACCCAACTTGGGTAAAACGCCTCTCGAATAGACATGTTTAAAAAGAGCTTATCTACCTCAATTTTCAAGGCAACATAATACTCAAGGTCCATGGCTCTTCTCTTCTGGCGAACCGGCTTGACTGCACTATCAATGTTGAGTGCATGACATATAACATTCAGGTTGATCCCGATCATATCAATATGAGTCCATGCAAAAACATCAACATTCTCTCTGAGAAAGCTCGTCAAGCTTTTGGCAAGCTAGGGTTTGAGATTACTCCTGATTCTCAACACTCAGGTCGGCTCATTTTGATCGACCGATACCTTAGATAGGTCCTCAAATGGCTCATTGTGAGGGCACTCTTGGATGCGAGGATCCATGTTGTCCTCTACTGGGCTGGGCTGTGGCTCGATCTTGTTGATTGCCATAGCCTGCTCGGGGATTCCCATTGGTCTTCCATTTCCCTTGCACGCCATCTGAACTGCTCTTATGTAGCAGTTGTGAGATTCGTACTGAGATCCTTTTACTTCCCCAATCCCCGTCGGACTGGGGAACTTCATTTTTAGATGGTAGATGGAGGTGACTGCCTTGAAACTTCGCAGTAGAGGTCGTCCTCGAATGCCATCAAAGGCGAACGGACAGTCTACCACCAAAAACTCCATCATCTTGGTCATTTTGTTGATCTCACCCAACATGACTGGGAGTCAGATTGTTCCCCTAGGAATTAGATGATCCCCAGTGAAATCATAGAGAGGGATGGAGGCAGGCTTTAGGTCTGCCTTGTCCAATTGCATTTTTTCAAAGGCTTGCTGAATTAGGATATTCACAACGCTTCCATTGTCCACCAACATTATGTGGACTTTGCACCGTCCTATTTCAGACGCGATGGCGAGTGCATCCTTATGGGGTCGTGACACTGTGTTCATCACACTCACAGGGTTATGATGAGCTTCCTGAGCATACCTTTCTTGGGCACCTCAAGAATTCCCTACGAGGTGTGGTCTTCCAAAGATGATCCTTACACAGTAGAGACCCTTGCGATCATGACGCTTCTTCCCTTGTTCCTCTTGATCCTTTTCCCGAACGGGAGTCGGATCATCAACGTACTCTTTGAAGTGCTCCTGCCTAATGAAGTCTTCAATTGCTTGCTTGAGAGCCCGACACTTATCGGTGTGATGCTCATTATCCCGATGATAGCGACAATACTTTTTGTTGTTCCTAGCTGAGGGGGAATTCTTCATGGGCTCTCACTCTTCAGTAGGCTGGCCTCCTCTGACTTATCCAAAATAGCCAACATTGAGGCATTCAAATGAGTGTATTAACTTTTGTTGCGATTTCGACGAGGAACTTGGGCATAAGATTTTTTAGGCTCAAATCGCTGCTTTTTTCCTTTCCGTTGATCGTCATTAGCCCATCTGCGATCAGCCTTTCTACTGTTCTCCCCCCGGTTGGGAGCACTAGTCGAAGGACCGGGGGCATGGTGATTAAAAGCAGCCATGGAATTTTCGATTCGAAGATACTTCTCAGTGAGGTTGTAGAAGCGAGTAAGGGAAACATTATCCTCAGATTGTAACTCTTTCCACAAGTCAGTCTGTGTGCGAACCCCCGTAATAATGAGAGTCCGAATGAACTCTTTGGGAGTGTGAGCCACTTTTTGGATTTCCTTGTAGAATCTATGTAAGACTGGAGGGATGCATTCATCTCCTGCCGTATATTGCTTAGATAACTCAATGGCATTGAGAACTTCCTATTCGCCTGGGAGTCTCTAAAAAATGATAAGCTCATTTGTTGCCATAAACTGATTGATCCCGTGGGAAGCGATCTGAACTAACGCTTGGCATGGGCAGTTAGAGTTACTGCTAAGCAACAACATTTGGTCAAGTTGAAGACTTGGTGGAGTTCCATGAGGTCGTTGAACTCATAAAGGTGATCCTACGGATCAAAATTCCCATCTAACGCCCACATGTCCGACATTCTGAATCTCAATGGGAGAGAAGCAACTAACACTACTGGAGAAAGGGGAGACACCTCAACGACCTTCCCACACTCATTCTGCTGAGCCTTAAGCTGATCCAAAGCTTGCTGCAATTCCTCAATCTTAGGTAGTGGAGCTACCTGAGGATCACTTTTCGCAACATGGGTTCAACCCTCACGATTGCGATTGAGGAAAGACCACAAATCGGAGTCTTCCTCAACTCGGTCGGAAGCTCTAGCGAACCTTGACATATGCTGGCTGGGGCCGTGTGAAGGCATTGAATGACTAGGAGAGTTTTCCCGATCTCCACGGTAGTCAAACCAACCCGTGGACAATGGGGGTTTCTCACATGATGACAGTCGAGGTCATCATTTCGGTGATATTGGGAATCTCCCAACCTTGCACTTTTGTGGGAGTGCCCATGTGATGTGGCGTGGGACGGCTCATGCTGCGACATGTTGCCGAGTTGCAATGCCACAGGTATTATACCCATTGCACGGTCGATGTTCGCTAGTCCCTTGGAGCCCTTCGGTCTACTGCTCGCCACTTGCTTTCCCTTACTTTTATGCGCTGTAGTGCGCGCAGTACGGGCTTTTGCCCTTTTCCACGCTTTCACGTGACCTGCAAGCGTCTTTGGCGGTGACATCGCCTCATTGGCCTCTGATGGTATGACCCAATCCAAATGGTCTAACCTTTGGCTAACCGTTTGGAGAGTATTGTTGAACCTCTCTAAGTAATTCATCATGGCTAGGTTGAGCTGTGAGCTCGAATGAATATCCGCCATGATACTCCGTTGGACTGGCGGCACTTCGGGAGAAATGTCATCCTATACCCAGGGGATTTCCTCATTGTCAAGGTCGGTTCGCTTAGTTTCAACACCGCGAGCTATTTGCTGATGGGTAGGACCGATCAGTGAGAGGTTTCTGATGAAGAGCGGATACTAAATCAAGCCCTCCTTTTAGCATCAAACTGTTGATGCTTGATTTTGACACCAACGACTCACACGTGCAAAGTGCTAAGCCAACTTAGAAATTACACGTGATATGAGAATATGCAATGAGAGAATAAATAAGAAGCAGTTTTTAAAGTGGTTCGGATGCTCAAAAGTGAATCCTCCGTCCACTGCGGTTGTATTAATAGGTGGTTACAGTCAGTTCGCGTATAGCGAGCTGAATTACAATCAAGAGAGAGAGAGAGAGAGAGTGTGTGTGTGTGCGCGCTTTGGAAGACTGAAGATGAGCCAATCCCGTAAACGAGAAAGGAGCCCTCTATTTATAGTTGGTGGATCCAAGGCAGTAATCATGATTTTGCAGTCGGGTAGGTGTGGTATAATTCCTAACCGGCTTCGTATTGGTTGTCTGCACGGGAGACATCCTTAAATTGCGTAGGGCTTGGGCAGGTGGACAATTCCTAACCACCCACAAGCTTGGCATTCACCTGCCATACTGATGATAACCATACCTCTTCTGTCCTTACGCGACGTGACCGCGTCTAGACGGCACAAACCCTTCCTGAACTCTGATTGACTCTTGTTGGCATGAGCTCACGTCAACCTTGATTTTTTAGGCATAACAAGTCTTATGACATAATTTTCAATATTTATATTTTGTTATAAGAATATGATTAAATAATATTCTAATTTCTACATTTTAAATATGATATTTATCTTTATCATCTAAAGAATTTGCTAGTCTTATGACATATTTTTAAGGCATTTAACCAAAAAAAAATCTGGTAGGATTTGAATGGCTTAAAATTATATACCAGTACATAAGCCTTTGGATGTGGTCAACACTACTTGTTGACTGCATTTTTTCACTATGTCCAACGGTTTAAACTTCCGGGCAGGAAAGGAGACCCGAACCGAAATCCATTTACCCATGGATCTGAGTAGCAGGCTAGCAGCACACTGGCCCTGCTGTTCGAATCATCTACACAGAAATTACTTCAATCGTCTTCCAAACTAAAAAACCTCAAACTCGTCTTTCTCATGGCTACCTCTCTGTTTTCTCCACTTTCATCACTCACCAAAGAGCCACCGGGTCCTACACCCGCCCTTCCCAAATCTTCGTTTCTCTCCAACACCAAGCTCTTTAACTTCACGCCTTCTTCAAGAACAAAACTCAGAGTTGAAAGATGCCATATCACTCCCCGTGCGGAGTCGCTGGACCACATTCCCAAGCAGTTCAGGGAACAAAATCTCAAGGATGGATGTGAGTTTTCGATTACCCATCTCTTCTTTTCTGTATTCCTTCTTGTTTATTTTATCATTTCTTGTTTTGGTTGTTCAAAGAACGCATTTTTATTGGTTGAGATGAAATCTAATCCATTTCACATAATTTAATTTAGGATTTGAATCGAGCTTATATTAAGTCAATCGTAGCAGATAGGAGAAATTATTAATGGGATGCTTTAATTCAAGATTGTTTAATGTATGTGTAAAAAGAAAATATGATACAACTAGAAGATAAAAGGAATTGTCTTGGATACTGTAGCTGCAGATACTCTGTGATTAGCCGTAACACTGGAGTAAAGCTTCTAGTCTTTCGGTTAGAAATCATTGGTGGTGTTTTGGAGAGCAATTCGAACATGACAATGATGAAAGTTGGTGGCTTTGGTAATAGGATAGGTTTTGACTTATTGATTGGAATGATAAGTGATGCATGAGTATGAGCATGCTAGTGTAGGATATGGAAATTATTTATTTTTTTTTTTTTTTCGGTAAGGTTGATGAATTTTTCAAATTAGAACAATGGCATCAATCACCTCGTCGTTAGGTGGAACTTTAACATTGGAATTTGAAATGGTATGTCCATGTAAACTAGGTTTCGACATGCTGCTAAATTAAAGAATAACCATTTGAAAGCTTTAGCGAGTATTTTTCATGTAATTAGGTTTATGATATTTTACATCGCCTTTCAAGTGTGACCATTAATAGCCCATATAGCTTACACCCAAAGATTGCATTTCATTGGATATGATATGATGGGATTTTGGTTTATCTGCTTCATAAATTATAACCATTAACCTTTGGATCTTTAGTGAATTTTTAATCTTCAAAATATGTGGTTGAGAGTGATTTCTCTGAGCTCATCTAGACACTGTTTTTCGGAGCATATCTTGGACTTATTTATCCCCTGATTTAGTTGCATGATTCTTTTACTCCTTTTCTTTATTTTTTTGGGAAAATTTATAAAAGAAAGAAAATGTCTTTTCATATTAGAACGAGTGAGCATCATCGTTATTAATCTTATTTAACCCTCTTAGGACATTTTTAATTAACTTCAAATTGGATTTATCTAAAAGAAAGATAAATTCAAGTAATTACTCTTATTTGTAACTTCTTTTTTGCAGTGATGGACAACTACAAGAATGTTCCTCAGTATCTTTACGGCCTTAGTGCTTCACAGATGGACATGTTCATGACAGAAGATAACCCTGTACGCCGGCAATGTGAAAGAGTTACTGAGGTTCTTTCTCTATAGATGCTTTTTGGTAAATTTGAGTGGATTACTGATGATGTAAAACAAGCAAAAACAATTACTTGTTAATAGCTGGTGTAAACAATTCCTTACAGGAAAGCATTTCTTCAGCCCAAAACTATTTGAATAATGGGGGTATGTGGAGTCTGTCTGACATGAATGATAGGGGTCCTTCAAAGTACAGTATGAGTGTGAGCATGTATCGCGGAGGGGCCCGAGGATATGGAAGACCCAGAACTGCACCTCCTGATTTGCCTTCTTTGCTTCTAGATGCTCGGATATGCTATCTTGGAATGCCGGTGAGTCTTTTTACCATGTTGCACCACCATCTACCTACTGGCTAAATTTTCGTATTTTATGTTGCCATCTCCTTTCTGTTCAATCCTGTGCACCATTCTGATATTTTCCTCGTCACTGTTGCAGATTGTACCTGCAGTAACTGAGCTTCTGGTTGCTCAGTTTATGTGGCTGGATTTTGATAATGCTACAAAGCCTATATATCTATACATTAATTCTTCTGGGACACAGGTCAGTGTTGGACGCTCTGAAGATTTATTTTTTTGTATGAGATGCTGGTGTAAAATCAATTGTCATAGCCTGCTGGAAATGCATCCACTTTCTGCTAATCATTTGTTAATATGGTTTTTTCATGCAATTTAGAATGAGAAGAAGGAGACTGTTGGATCTGAAACTGAGGCATATGCTATAGCTGACGCAATGGCTGTAAGTATATTTATCGCTCACATGTGTTTGACTATATTTATCTGTTTCAGGAATGCATATCTTTGGTCATTATATGTTATAATATTTGTCAAAAAAATTTGCTCAATGTTCAGATTGAATCCTTTTAATATTTTTCCATACTATTAAAAGAACAGCTCCCTTTACAGTCCAATTTCTATAAAATGGTTTAGATTACTCTTTTTTTCTTTTTTCAAGTGATTTGACCTGCTTTAATGTAACCTCTGCATTTCTTTTTTATTTTTCTTAAGTACTGCAAATCAGATGTCTACACTGTGAATTGTGGAATGGCTTATGGTCAAGCAGCAATGCTTCTCTCTCTTGGGACAAAGGGTTATCGTGCTCTACAGCCAAATTCCTCAAGTATGATTCATTTTTGTTTTAAGTTTTATAGATTAACATGGATTTTTTGCGAATAATTCTACTGCTGTAGAAGCTTGTGAGGGTCACACTGTTTACATCTTCTACTTCATTTGGGTCAATGAACATGATTGGAGAATCAACTTTTACTTTGGCATACCTTATCAATCATTCCTTAATACATTTTTCAAACCAAATCTTCAATAAAATGGTTCTGCTATTGGACTGCTTCAATAATGACTGCAAGGGAAAGAACTTTGGATATGATTTATGACATTAAAATGGATTAAGTACAAATTTTATGGGACTTGTAATAGTTATGTGAGAATGATAATGGAGAGAGTAATGAATTGCTGGAGGAAGTTTTGAGTATTGGTAAAGCAGTTTGTCGATTGCATACACAGTTGACCTTTTTTTTTTTTGGCGTCATATTGCAACTTCTGTTTCTTCAAAGAATCTAATTATAAAGTTCTACGAAACATTTATTCATGGATTCGATGGTCCTACCTCATCAGATCACATACGACTTGGTATGTGCAGCCACCGATATTTGATCCCTGCCTTTTTTAAGATGGGAACCTTATGATAACTAGGTGGTCCCTGAACACTTGTACCACTGGGTCAGTTTTTGGGTACTTGGAGAATGATTTAAACTTTTTGTTACCCATGGCTTTATCATCTGAATGTTGAATTTCAGCTAAACTTTACTTGCCTAATGTTAATGTTGAATTGCAGCAAAACTTTACTTGCCTAAAGTCAACAGGTCAAGTGGATCTGTCATTGATATGTGGATTAAGGTGCTCCCTCTCTTTCAATATCTCTACTTCTATCTTTCTTTGAGCGTTATTCTGAACATGATTGCATTTAGGCCAAAGAGCTAGATGCCAACACTGAATACTACATCGAGCTATTAGCAAAAGGAACAGGGAAATCGAAGGAAGAAATTGCTAAAGACATCCAGCGACCTAAATATCTACAAGCACAAGAAGCAATAGATTTTGGCATTGCAGACAAGTTAATCAACGCAAGGGATACAGCTTTTGAAAAACGGGTAATGCTTTCACTTCATTGATCTCAAACTTGTTCTTTTTTATTTTTAATGCCCTGGTTGTATTCTTATAAACAAATTCTCTAAAATCAGGATTACGACAAGCTTCTTGCTCAGTCAAAAGCCATGAGGAGGGCCGCAGGAGGGGCAGGTCCGCAAGCAGCTCCTTCCGGGTTTAGGTGATTACTGATTACAAAGCTGTAATATATGATACTTAATATACATGGAATAGATTTAAGCTCGTCAAATCTTCATTTCCATATGGGATGCATCGAGCCATTGGCTACATGTGGCGCTTCTGCTGATCTATAGTAATGATGCAGACAATAATGGTGTCTATTCCGAATTTCCGATTAGTAAGCATGTAGCTTCTTCAGTTTCTAAATGCTGTATACGATGTATTTGGAAAATGGGTTAAGCTAAATTTTTCTACCAAAAACTTTTGAAAGGTGATTCTTACGTTGCTTCCTCTAATTATGCCCCCAATGTGGAGCTAGTGGATCAATTTATGTTCTTGCATGCGAGCAGCAGATACAATTTAGACGTGAATATGTAGAAAAGGCTGACACAAAAGATAAAATTTACTGATGTTGATGCAATTTTCTGAATTAGATGTTGTGGGATTTCTTTAATTTTATTTCAATCGGGTGAAATTTAGATCAGGGTAATAGTAACAAAGAAATTAACGTAGTAAAGATGACTTCAAACCTCATGTCAGTATCATCATTACAGTAAAGTTGAACCAGAAACGTACAAGCACAAACTTAATACAATGAATCTCAATCTAGACTGACACAGGTCTAGTCGAAATTTTGATGCTTAAAATTCAAAACAAAAAGATGGGGGAAAACAAAACGATTTCATTGAACGACTATGCTATGAAGATTAGTTCACAAGAATACAAGTTAATAAAGAACTTGCAAACTATGATACAAAAACAGTTTTCAGAATTTTGACAAGCTTCATCAGTAGGAAATGAAGCCTATACAGAGTACTAAAAAAGATCGCGTATTTAAAAACACTATAGAACAAACATGGATGTCTTAACAAAAATTACGCTGGAGGATTTGGGAACACTTTTGGCTTAGGCTTGACTTCTATTTCATTTACACTGCGTACAAATATTGCATCCGGTTCATGTCTGCAAAAAGAACAAACACGTTTTAGGATTTAGCTAACATGACAACTAGTGAGAGACAGCGAGAGAGTCATTTCTTACGGCTTATCTCCCTCTTCAAACGTGTAACTTGATGCGACAGCCAAAAGACGACCATCTCTGCTAAATGAGAGTGCTGCAATGCTCGATGGGTATTTCGAGTACTGCAGAAGAATAGCGTGATGATAATTATAATAAGGATATTTTCCGCAGGTAAATTTATTGACCATCCCAAACATATACACAACACCCCAACTGTTTACCTGATACAGCCTCTTTTTGTTGTTCCCATCCCACACATTCACGAAACCATCACAACCTCCAGTAGCAAAAGTACCATAACTGCAGTTCAATTAGAAGCAAGTATGAGCAATTAATTATGTGAGTGAGAAGAAGATGCTATATAACTATTTTCAAACCCATAATTTTAACTTGATACTAAACGCTGATTTCATAGAACAATTTATTTCTGAAGTCTTGAGCCAACTTGTAAGTGTAAAATAATCACGCTAGATTGTATCAATAATTTCAAAATTTTCAATTTATAACTGAGTAAAACAAAAACAAAACTGATTTTTTTAAGGACTTCACATTTGAACTCACAAAATGCACATTTCAGAATTCAGTTACACCAAGTTAGCTACATGTTTGCCAGACATACTCTGAAACAGAAAATTCCTTATGGGAATTGTTCAGTGCCAGTGGTTCTTGGCTTCCATTCTCAAGTTGATTTACTACTAAGCTAATTAATTGGCAAAACGCCTACCAATATGTAACATTAACCATTTGATTTGAAACATCCTACCGAATTAAAATTGCTATAACATAAATATTAATGAGACAAGGATCTTCAACAAAAATGCAAAATGACCTGGTATCTTAACTTCTGGCCTCTCATCTCTATGCTGTTTTATCAATAAAAAAATCAACGATGTGACTTAGAAACTTACATAGGGTGAAATGCAATGGCATTTACTGGATAAACAATGTCTCTTCCAGCCTCTGATTTTCGGTGACACTTAAATGCATATCTGCATAACATATAAAATCATTAATATGTAGTTAAACAACAGATGAAAAGACACTCTGTGCATAGCAATAAGTACAAGCATACATGCATCTCTGCCCATTAATGTATAGTCACAAGGAAAAGACCATGACTCGTATCCAACCAATGATAGTAGTACACATCACCTCAGAGGGTGTCATTGTAATTAAACTAAGACAGTATACATAATATACCATAGAAAGACGAAGAAACCCCAGATTTTCTGAGAAGCTGAAAGAAGTCACTCATACTTTTATTTAAGATACCTTAATTTGAAACTTTTTAAAGAAGAATATTTGATGGCTCAATTCAGAAAGAGCAAAAAGAAGAACCAACAATTACCTCAATTATTTGTATTACAGAACTAAAGACAAATGAAAACACTACAGAAAGCAATCAATTCTATATCGTAAAAGAAAATATTAACACATACTTTTTGACTTGACTAGCTTCTGAGAGATCAAAAAACTCCATTGCAACCCGTCCTTCAACAGAACTAAGAGCATATCCTGCATGCAGTTATGTGGATGAAAAAATATAATGTCCAATGGAAGGTAACTAAAGGCAAGAATTAATCATAAGAGACAAATAAATTAGCTACTATCAATTATGAGCTATAATAAGTCCTCATCATGATAAAGGAGTAATCTGCACCTGTTCCGTTAGGGTAACAGCGCACACATCTAGTCTGATACTTCAAAGAAGATTCCCTCCTTTGCTCAGGTTGAGACATATTTCGTAAATCATAGACATTTACATTTCTTCCTGCAGTTGCCACGACTAGACGATTTCCAACGAGGGATAAAGAGTAAACACGCTCAGGTTGAGGGTATGTTCCAACAAGAGTGCGCTCCTGGCCACTTGCACCTCTAGGATCCCAACACTTGAGAGTTTTGTCCCAACTACCAGTAATCACTTGCCCTGTAAGCAATCAAAATACAGAAGGAAATACTATGTACTGAGAATTTTCCACATAGAAAAAAAACAGATAATAAACCCTTCTCCAATCCTATACATTCAATCTCTGAATGAAACAATTTATAGCATCATCACAAATCATTCTAACTTATGAAAAAAGGACATGAAACAATATGATGATAATGACATCTCCAAAATGACTCTGAATAATGATTAACAATAACAATCTCTTACAATAAAGCATCCAGTATTTTACATTTTTATATTGCTCGACTATTAAAACATAAATTTATATAGCTCTTCAAATTCCACAGATCAGTGCTACACCTGTATGTATACCAGTATGCTACAAATACTGAAAATGCATATTAATTATATGTACATTGCTTGAAATTATCAAGTTCTTCTATTGTTATCTCTCAAAGACAATCCAAAAGAAATGACCTAATTTACCAAAAGCATCAGTCACTCAAATCACCACAGAGCACCATTACCAAGGAAAGCAAATTAAATAATAAAGGGAGCTTGTGAACTATAACTGACCTGCCGCGTAAGAGTACTCAACACAACGAACAGGTGCATCATGCCTTCCCAAGATATCCTCTTTGCCATGGTTGAAAACTAGCCTGAAACATTAATACCACAATCTTAAGCTTGACAAAATAGTCAAAGATAATTGACACAACAAAATGAGAAAATTCAGATAGCATAGATGCATCTCATACACAATCAGGTGTATTAGTGCAATCAGATTTAGTTGAGTAACCACCTAACATCTATGAGCATCAATTAGTAATAAGAAACCGCAACCAATCATATGCAAATAAAATCAATTATCTAAACATTCACACAAACAACCATTAGTATCAAGAGATCAGCACACAATTCTTCACAACCAAAGCAAAAAATGAGTCATCATATGTGACGAGAAGAGGGAAGAAAAGGAAGGAGAGATGAAAAATAACTCCCACGGTTCAAAAGAACATGTAGAATGGTCAAAGAAAACTGGGCAAGAAAAACCAGGCACTTTGGTAGATTTGAACGCATCTATAAGTTTCTTTGATATTTTTTTCACTGAGATAGCAGGAATGTTTTCAGTTCATTACCCTTAAAATAATTGTCAAGGAAAAAAGGGCATTCTATTGTGCATTTGTTATGTCAAGCAGCAGTCATCAATAAAAGATGCAAGATTGGATCATTAAGAATCAAGGTGCTAGACCAGCTCACTATGTATAAGCTAATAGCCTAAGTTGATACTAGCCTTGCATTCATTTCTTCTTTGTTCCCGTAACTTCATTGCCAGATACTATGCAGTTAGTATTAGAATTAATGGCATCTGGCCAACAAAAGATATGGGAGTTTTAAGTTTAAAGATAGACCCGGGAAGTGGTGAAATGCAACAACATAAGGTAAGATTCTTGTCATCATCTCTCATACAGAAACAAGTCATTTCATGTCTTTATTACTCATAGAGATCCAACACCATTTTGACTAGTGTTACACTGTTGCTAGATCCATAAAATAAGCATTGTGATACCCATGTACCTTCGTACTGTTTTTCTTTCTCCCTTTTTTATGTTCATCTCCATATCCGTTAAAAGTATTGTCAAAGTACTACTGTGTTCCTCCACCTTGTATCCCACCTTCTACAAGGGAAAGAAGGAAAAATGGACAAAGCAACCTATAAGCATGGTAGTGCAAGACAGGTGGACATTGTCTTCCTTCTAAATTCCCTTTTAACTACATAAAGTACAGAATATTTGCACTTTCAGAAATATGGATGCTAACTTCTTAATATATTATTAACAAATCTAACCTCAAAGCTTAAGCCCATAGTGAAACATTACCTATCATATGACTAGCCTTGTCAAAATCGTAGACTTCATTAGTGTGGAACTCTAACATACATGACATAGAAAATGAACCCGAAATAGTTTCCATTTTAAAAGATAGAATACAAAACACATTCTTTCCTCTTCTTTTCTTCTCCCAGACAAACAATTAATTAAAGTATGTCACACAGATTAAAATTTTAAACTCAAAAGTAAACGTATAATCAATGGTTTAAAGAAAAAGATTCTTTGAGCTTCCTGAAGATTTAGCCAAATTACAAGCAAGGCTCATGATTTTAAAAATTGGCCAAAACCTACATGAAGTTTCATAAAATTTAATAGAAATCTCCCCTGCCTATCTGTTTGTACTTAGACCAAATATTAACCTTAACAGAGGAAAATGCAATATATCTTAATTTAAAAACAGTTCGCAACAAATAAACATAACAATAGTTAAAAAAAAAAAAAAAAAAATTAAAATGATAATTATCTGAACTCTTGCCGTAGTCCCA